CTCCAACCATTGGTTACGATAGTCACGCGGACCCCAACCAAGTAGTCTGCATCTATCAACATGGCTCAGACTAGAAGTTAGTGAATTCAAGCACTGATGCCACGTTTTGGTTTGGCCGCCCCTAACTTTCTTCCAACCATTTCCAATACGGGATAGCATTGCACGTTGTGGTGATCAGTGTTCAGGCATACGTAACACGTGGCCCAACCATCTCAGTCGATGAAGATTCACAACCTCATCAACTGATTTACCATCATTCCCTAATACCTTGAGTCTAACCTCACTATTACTTACCCGGTGATCCCAGCAGTCGCTAGCAATATTTTTAAGGCATCTGTGGTCAAATACTAGTAGCTTACGAGTATCTTCTACCCTTGTTGGTTACGTTTCGCTGCCGTAAAGTAAGACAGAACGAACTGCCGCGCAGTATACTTGTCCCTTAATTGATAGACGGATATCTCGCCTTCGCCATAAGTGACGCAAGTTAGCAAAAGCCAAACGAGCTTTTCGAATCTGTGCTGAGATTTTGTCAGACATTAACCCATTAGAGGTGGTCAGACTTCCAAGATAATTGAAGTTGTCAACGCGTTCGACTACTTCACTCCTTATCTTTAGTTCAGATGTTGACACAGACCAGTTTTGAAGCAACAACTTACAGTGAGTTAATATCTCACAACAGAACCGATTGAACTCCATTGGTTACTGCTTCTCATTAGAACTTTAAATAGATCGCTATTATAATTCACATGAATTGTTTACAATATTTAATATAATAACAAAAAGACTATTTTACAATGTAAATATTTATCATTTATATTAATTTATTGTTTTGAAGTTTATTAAAACCATTTAATATGTCAATGATGTTACTAACTTATCAAATGTTGACAAGAGTTTTTATTTACGAATGAATGTTTATTTACTTTTTTGTTTTTTGTTTTGTCTTCTTATTTGTTTTGATGTATAAACTATAGAACAACAAGACATGTAAGCGAACACTATTGTGTTCACTTAGATCATCATCAAGCTTTACTTTAATATACATGAATATCAAAGCAATTTGAGTCAGTAATCATAATGAAATAGAATGTATCATTGCGCTAGTATTATTTTCATATCCGATAAAAAGCTTATGATTTAAAGCTAAATTAAGGCAATCTACACAAGATGCACATATGACAATATGAGACTGATGAATTGTAGTCTCAAACATCAATGGGAAGATTCAAGTAAAAAGCAATACCAAGTGAATATTCGGCATTTGTTTATACTTTTCTGCTTCTTTCCGTTTGGTTGATGTTAGACACTATCACCATTGGATGCCGGTCGCCTCATCGGTCCAGTAGGTTAAGTATTCGCGCGCGAGACCGAAAGCCATGGGTTCAAATCTCGCGGGTGGAATCATGGATGCGCACTGCTGAAGATTCCTACAATAGGACAGGTTTCCAAATGTAATCTAACATCGATCGGTTCATAATCTCAATCAGAAAAATTTTCATTCCGTTTCGTTCAATCAAATGACTAGTTTAAAGTTCGTTATAATTGGTCAGTTATTTCTTAAAATGAATATAAAATGTCAGTACTTGTCGACAGAGCACATTTTCTTTAAATTATGGGTGATAGTTATGTACGAAGTTTAAACTCTGTCGTTTCTCATGTTGTCACAGAAACAGAGAACGTATTTTTGAATATATTATCAATCACAATGTTGAACTATTGAGAAGACTGTTTCTTATCGTATTTTATTATTCTTACCTACTATCAGTACATCTGTCTTCCTACTATCAACTTGTACTTTTACCTATTATATCCGGTGATGTATTCTATTTGATTATCATTATTGACCCAAATCGCCTTGATTGATTTAACATAATTCGTATAATTCGTAATTTAGTACTAATCAAGTTAAATTAAGTAGTATGATTTCAACAAAGAGTCACTTAAATTTGAGTAGTAGTATGCCTTATTCATTGTACTAACTATTCTCTTTATCAGTGATTTATGATATATGTATATTCTATGAATTAGAAAAAAAATGATTTCTGTAGAGTTTGTCTAGTTTATAAATGGTTTACATCATGGAAATATATTTACATATAAGAACTATTAAAAAGATATAGATAGTTGAACTGTTCAGTGTACAAGTTTAAACCTTGTTAAGATTAAACAGCTATGTCAATCAAAAGCCAATGGAACTTAAGAATTCATGACTTAAAATATACTTAGTAATCTTTTAATACCAATATAGTTGTCACCATCAGTCAGTCAGTCAGTCAGTCAGCTACAACGTAGGACCATGCACCATTCTTAACTCTAAATAATCTATAATATTATTTCAGCAGTTATTTCATTGAATCAATGTGTATAACTGTTTTACATTTTCACTTTGATCAATTTCAAATATCTATTACAACCGAATGAAATGAATATAACACAAAGATGGATGATAATGGCTAGTAGTGGGATTCAAGGACAAGCATTTCATCTTATTTGTATTCTAGAGTTGATATTCACTCTCTAGGACTCAAACTCAGGGATATTTGCTTCAAGCACCATTATGTCACCCACATAGAGCTTCTTAGTTCAAAACAGTATCGAGGCAATCCGCAATATTAAACATCAATGAAAAGATTTAAGCAACCAAAATACCAAAATAAATTAATCAAATTACTTGAAAATCAAATCAAAAGTGTCTATATCACTAAAGCTTTAATAAAATGTTCAGTTGATATTCATTTATATAATGGAAATCATGGTCAAGATATTCTATTGTAGTTAAAAATATTAACATTATAAGATATAAATAGTTATGATTTCCTTCATAGAACATAAGCTAATTGTTTTGAATTAACACTTAAAGAAAACATATTAAACGACCATCTTTTGATGTTGTTGTTGATGGTGGTATTCAGTAAATTACTAGTGAGAATGAAAATTTACAAACTATTTGTTTATATGATTTATTCTTTAGTACATACTAAAATTTTAATGTAGGCTAATCAACACTTCAAGGTAATAGTTGCCTACACAAAATACTATGGATCCGTTGGTTAAACATTATCAACAACAACCTACTGTGGTAGAGAACAAACCAGATTTCAGTGGAGGAAGAAATTAGGAAGAAGTGCTGGAAGTGGATAGGACACATATAGAAGAAAGCACCCAACTGTGTCACAGGGCAAGCCCTCACTTGGAATCCTCAAGGACAGAGGAGAAGAATAAGACCAAAGAACACATTTTGTCGAGAAATGGAGACAGACATGATAAGAATGAAAAACAATTGAATAGAACTGCAAAGGAAGGCGTAGGACAGAGTGGGTTGGAGAATGCTGTTTCGCGGCCTATACTCCCTTGTGAGTTAACAGGCGTAAGGAAGTAAATAAGTTACATATGACATATGGCATTATATTATTGTTCTCTAGAAAATTAGTCGATTTCATAATGAAGAATTAATCACTAAATGATATTGAATTAAAAAGTCTGATAATATATTAAATTAATAGGCAGCTAAGGGAAGTCGAATCAAAGACTCATTCACATGTTATGGCGTTGGTTATCCACCAATTCAAGTCTGAAATCTGCACGCAAAAAAATTCTTTCCAGTATATTTCGGTCGAGCTTGGTTTTTGTACTTTCTAAACCCTAATCCGTTATTATTATCTTCTAACAACTACTATTCTATTATTATCATCATCTTAATGGTTTTCATTTTTCATCATGTTTGTCAAGTGAATAATTATCTTCCATATTTCTGATCTATAAATTACTTTCATCCTCAAACTATTCTCTCACATGTTGATCATTAAACAACTTCCTTGAGATATTTAAAAAACACTGGATCATTTCATAATTCAATATCTTCTATCCATTCTGTGAACTCATATTTCGAAATTCTATTCACCTTTGTTAACCCATGTACTAGGTACCTATAAATGAAGTTCTATTGAGAAACCATGACCAGTGAAGTTCAATCCATGTCGAGTGTGAGATAGTTATCTACATTAGACAATAGATGAAGGGTTGAACAAGATCATGGAACGGTTGAAGTTAGACATTAACACTATTTTGATACCTCTGCTCAGTGATTGGGATGTCGAGTATTTGCGTGTGAAACCAAAGGTCTTAAGTTAGAGTCCCGCGTTTAGGATCGTGACCACATACTACTGAGGTGCCCAATAATCGAACGAAACGTCTATCCAGTACTTTCAGCATAGATCAGCATAGATCGACTCAAGAATTCAGTTTTGAAAATACTACAATCTCCACAAATCCCCATATAGATCAAAATTTTAATGATTGTTTGACTTCCATAAAATTTTATATAAGACATATAATTATGAAGTCAGTCAGTCAGTCAGCTACAACGTAAGACCAGACACATATATGTACAGATTCAAGTTGTCATACCTCATTAACACAACAAGATGGACACCGGGTTCATAAAAAATAGTTAATTCAGAGATGGTAATATATAAAAGAATGATTGCAATAAGGATATAGTAGAGGAGGAAAGATATGAAGCGATTTTAATCTCTTAATTTAAGGGAAGATAGAGAGTGTATACACCGACGCCATTGTGATCGATTCTGAACCATGTCACCAAGAGTTTCCAACCATTTGATTACGATTATAAAGTAGAAATGCATATAAAAGATATTCATAAGAAATCAATGATTGTGTTAAATGACTACAACTTAATGAATGTAGTTTTCTATCATTTAACTCATTTCAATCCATCTAATTAGGAATGTGATAATTCAACTAATTGATCCAATATAAAATTATATCTATATACTTTAATGAAGTTAATGCATATTGATTTAAGAGCTCTTACTTTAAACAAACACAATTTGTATTTTGTTAACAAGAATGTTATCACTATGACCCCTGATAAAACTTATCGGAATTTAACAAAATAAACAACTTTCTCAGAGTTAAAGGTTATCGAGTTTTTATATTCATAAATCTACTTTTAAAAAAATATTATAAAACCTACATACTTGATATTCATAATCTTGTGTCTTCACTTTACGTCCTCTTCTAGATGCACGAAATGCTATACTTGCTGCATGCGCTGCTGATGCTCGTCTTAGTGCACTACTACTACGACGTGGTGTTTTATCATTATCTAAATTATTGAATTCTTTCTTTGAAAATAAATCCATTGGTATATTTCTTTCAACTCGTACAGTATGACATAATGAAAGTAAAAGTAATAATGTTTGTACACTATTTACTGTAGGTGATTGACTAGAAGATTCAGTTATTGTTTTTAAATGTACAGCTTCTGATAATTCATCTAATTCTTCTTGATTTTCTTGATTAACTGGACTTCTAAAAGCTTCCATATCAGTACCATATATACTTGATGGTGAATCTGTATAACGAAATAAACCATTATTTTCAAAGTGAAAAACACCCATAGATGTAGCTAGTCGACGAAATTGCATTGAATTTTCTGTTAATGTACCAGTTTTGTCAGTGAAAAGATATTCAACCTAAAAAAAAAATATAATTAATAATGTTTAACCATTTTTGAAAATATTGTGCACATCAATTTTCATAGTGTTACGATAATTAATAAATGCTTGAATGCTATTACGAGTTCACCTTACTCGGTAAACGGAACGACAGTCAAAGACACAGTGACACGATAGACTATTTTAATCTGTTGTCCCCGGCCCTGATAACTAGATCAAGAAGTCTTGATGAAGCATAGAGAATGTATTCTACAAGCACTCAGAAAATTCGAAGTCACTAAGCACACAAATCAAGCTTATTTATACAATGATAGAAACGCCCTTGGGAGAAGCACAAAATAGCGTACTAAAACAATCCGTCAACCAATGACAGTCAGGGATTTGAGGGTGGGAAATGTAAGCTGTTGGTCAACGAAGTGTCTCTTGGCGCGAATAAAATTACAAAATTAGGATCTTTTTTCAAGTGAGGTCTGGGGATCTAACGTCCTCAAAATAACAAACTTTGATTTAAATAAATTATTAACAATTAGATCCTAAAAGCATTTTGTTGATAAATAAAGACTATTAACCTCACAATTTGCCAGATAAAGCTAATTTATAAACAATAGTTTGTTCATCAACTTCCTATACAAAAAAACTAGTCGCTGTCATAGAACATTTAGAAATTTTTATTCACAAAGAATAATACATAATGAACAAGATATTTTTGGGAACGTTTTTATGAAAAAATTATGAACCAGTCTAAATGAGATCACTATTGAAAACCTGGGAACACTAGATGACCGTTTCGCCCTATTGTGGGACTACTCAGTAGTGCGAATCCACGATTCTGTTTGCGAGATTTGAACCCAAAGCCCTCAGTCTTGTGCGCGAACACTTGACCTCCAGACCAGTGAGTCGGCATCCAACAGTGTTAATGTCTAACCTCAATGGCCGTCCAGTGCTTCCAGGTATCAATGGCGGTCTAACATCAATCAGTTCATGATCTCAATCAAAAACTTGATAATCTGCACAACTCCTATACTAGTAATTAACATGTGCTCATTAGTGACTAGCTTCGTGAGGGAATTCATGGAGTTCTAGTGAGAAGCTGTGACCAGTGGAGTTGATCCATGTCAGGTAGAGACAAGTATTTACCTCAGTACAGTGGAAGATTGTCGAGCAATTTGTGAATTGATTGAGGTTAGACATTAACACCGTTGGATTTCGACTCAGTGGTCTGGAGTTTAAGTGTTCGCGCGCGAGACTGGAGGCTCTGAGTTCAAATCCCGCGGGCGAAATCGTGGATAAGCACTGCTCAGGAGTTCAACAATAGGACGAGACGGCCGTCCAGTGCTTCCAGTTCTAGATCTTAATCAAAAACTTAATAATCTTCACAACCCTATACTGACAAAAAAATAATATCAAGATATCACTGATTGACAAAATTTTTAAGATACAAATGTTCATTTGAAATGTCAAATGCAATTGTTTAAGTAAAACAATTCCTGATGAAGAATTGTTGTCAACTGTTTTACTTCATACAATCTTTAAGTTGTAAATAAATTAATATGTTTGTCATATCATAGTGAGTAGAAAAAATTAGATTTTCTGAAGTTTCGTGACTCAGTGTACGTCACTTCTTCAGAGAACAAAGAACCAACTCAAAATTAATCCGAGTTCAAATAGTACAAAGGACGAAAGCATGAATATTGTCTGTCATCATTAAAAAAAACAAGTCTGAACAAGTCAATGTCATGTCATTTCGTTCAAGGTGGGTTATAAGCAAGATGTATGTAGATTTGTGTGTGTGTATGTGTGCAACGTCAGCGATGAAAAAATGTGTGACCTCCATGGTGAGAAAGGATAGAGTTTAATTTTTATGTACGATAATTGTGTCAATTGTAAGTAATATCAGACTAGGTGGCTAAGATAGATAATCCATGTCGGATGTATAGTAAGGCCTACTTTTCTATTGAGAGTAATAGGATTAAACATTATATGGAACCCTTCAGCTACTCTCCTTTCTCTGTAATTAGAAAAACATGACATGACATTGATTTGTCGAGTCACCTAGACTGGTGACCACATTGCAACATGATCGATAGCATTCGATCTGCACTAATAAGGACTAGACAAGCAAGACATTGATCACCACCCAGTGATCAATCAATTGTAACTTGCTTTCTTTTATTGGTCATACCTAATATACCTGCTTTGTTCCTTTGTACTATTTAAACTTTGATTAATTTCGATTTGGTTATTTGTTTACTCTGAAGAAGTGGCTTACACTGAGTTACGAAACGTCAGAAAATCTAATTTACAAATATTTTATTTATAACAATCTATCCAATTCTCAATTTATTCGAAATGATCAAGTCAAATCTTGCTAATCATACCTGCAAATCAGTAAATTGATTTAAATGATAAAGTTTGCAAATGAATTGAAAAGAGAAAGTCTTTCATTAATGACAGTAGTTATTTATAAAATGAAATAATTATTGACTGAGAGCTAATCTCAAAAGTATACAATGGTAACTTTTAGATTCTACCTAAGACCTCAGTCAATCTCACTGCTAATAATGGATCGCCATCTTTAAAACTCTCAGGGGTAAACCTTTCAGAGCCTGCTGCTCTTCCTCGCTTCAGATTTCCTATAGATTTTTCAACTGAGTAAAGAGTTGGAGAACTTACATTAACTTGCCATTCAGGTCGACTAGAGATCGTGGGAAACCAAAGTGTGACTGAAAGCCACTTGAACTGATCCCTAAAGTGTTCTGTCTGTTAGAAACTAATTTGTTTAAAGTACTAAAGAGAAAATTTATTTTTGAATGTTTCAACTCTTGGAACGACTAGTGTTTGATAAAACAAAACAAGAACTTGTATTTTCCTAATAATATTGAAAAATCGCTTACAAGTGAAATTAATATAACGTTTTGTTTTGTTTAGTTAATTGAATATCATCTCAACTTAATACATCCGTCTATTCCGTTTTTAAAGACTGGAATGCAGCATCTACATTATTGTTATAACACTCAGTTTTACTTCGTCTACATATATGAGACGTTAATTTACCTTAGATGAATATCTACAATAGATTCCCTCCTAGTGTCTACTCTACAGGACTTCAACACAACTCAGATCAAGAAGATGTGATTAGTCAAACCACATCGTAAATATATTTCCACACCAAAATACGGACAACAAGCCGACACAATCCAACAACGATCAATAATAAATAATAATAAGGATAAAAAAATATATAACTCATCTAACTATTATTATTCGTGGCTTTATTCAATATTATATTTTGGTACAATATAGAATTCTCAACACAAAGTATCTCAACAAGTTTCCTTTCCTTATTTCTTGGTCGATCTTGACGATAAATATTGTGTAATCTCCAGGTCGATGACAGAAGTTCAGGAATCGACATCTGAATGATGTACAATGTTTTTATGTATATTGCCAACAATCACCATGTTTTTGATTGTGCGAAATGTCGTAAACTTTTCATAAACGCACTTCAATAAATTATACGATTAATAGGCATATTGATGTGTTAAAACAAACAAGAAAACAGATAATTTATGGAAATATCCAAATGGTAGGAACAGGCCTATGCTTTTTCACAAGGATTAACAGACGAAAGTAAGGAATAGGTAGCTCAAATATTCAAGCAGGCTACCTTGGTACCTGAATTATTACTAATTGGATTTTTCGAATTCTGAATAAGTGCCTATCAGATATTAATTGATGTTGTATGGTTTTATTTCTGTTAATCGTTTGATTTAAGTTAACCTACAAGATGAGGTGTTTGGTTCACTTTAAATGGTTTAATGGTAAATGGGCAGATTTAACTTATTTCGTTTTTTTTAATTTACTTGACGGTGTATATTGTAAACACAGACTTCAAAATAAAGTAAATCTGAACCATTCAGTATCACATTTGGATGGCTTCCATTTGAGCCCATGAGAGTATATTCATGACGAACAGATGATTTTGAATCTTGACCACATTTATATGTTAACGTCTAGGTTGTAAAGAAGTCATGTGGATCCTGGTATAGAAAAACCTTGTCGGTAGCATTCAACGAAAAATCGTTCACTTAATTCGAACAAATAATGGTCTTTAATGGTTCAATTTATGAGTCAATGAAAGCTAGACCACCATGGAAAATCTGGAAGCACTGAACAGCTGGCCGTTTTGTCCTAGTATGGGAATCTTCAACAATGCGCATCCACGATCCCACCACACCCCCCGAGATTCGAACCTAGGACCCATCAGTCTCGCGCGCGAGCGCTTAACTATTAGACCACTGAGCCGGCCGGCATCCAACGGTGTTAATGTCTAACTTCAACCAATCCACAAAATTGCGTCATCGTACACCATTGTCTTCAGTGAGTTGATATCTCACAACAGACCTGGTTGAACTCCACTGGTAACGGCTTGTCACTAGAACTCCAGGAGTATCTCTTGAAGTCAGTCACTAGTGAGTAGATGATTATTATCAGAAGGGTTTTTTTGGAGATTTTAGAAATTTCAATAGTTGAAATCATGAGTCCATTGAAGCTAGACCACCATGGAAAACCTGGAAATAATGAAAACATATCCTAATATTTACATTTATATAGTTTTTATTGTAATCCTCTTTGTATTCCAGTTAAATTTAGGTGCATAGTAATTACCAAAGAATAAATAATAAGAAAGATGAAAACAATTTGCATCTTTTCAAATGAATGAATCATGTAATCTAGTAAACACTTCTTTGATTTTTATGAACTTATTACTGAAAATCATCATCTGTATGAAGTGTAAGCTGAAAATGTCCAAAATGATAATGAAGCACTTCTATTAAACCATTTAACTTAAAGAACAATGTGTAATACATATTAACATTACTTTTATAGAAGTCACAAACTCTACATTCTTATACAAACAAAAACATAACTGTCATTATATAAATCTTAATCTATTTAGTAGTAATTATTAAAACATTACATTACTTACTACAAAGACTTGTCAATTTTACCATTAA